ATGCGGTTCCGGAGCCGCATGCGGTGGCTCTGTAAGGACCCCCACCGTCTCGTACTCACATGCAAAGCGGCTGTTGAAATATTTAGCTTTTTTTACTAATTCGAAACAAAATGGTTCTTATTGTTATTTTGGTGGCCGACCTCTGGCCTATACAAAACTCAAGTGCATACAGAGCATTCAGCCAACATTGCAATCCCACAGGTCAAGCTTCTCTATAATTATAATTCTTTAACAATTGGTGATACCTTCAGAGACATGTTGTACTACATCATGCATACAATAGTATTTATCAACTCAAAAGATATCTGAGCACTTGGTGCTGTGGTTATAAATTATTGACTTGGAACAACAATCGTGGGAGTTCAAACTCTGGTCAGGGGTTGTCTCAGCCCATCATCCCTCTGGGTGGCGAGGTGTTAATTACCTCGCCTGGTATACAGGAGGGCGTGGGTTCGATCCCAGCCCTAATGCCGTATATCTAGAGTGTGCATGACTCTCGATGGTCGTGTGGATTTTTCTCCGGGTCCTCCGTTTTTTCCCTTCACATTTAGAAACAGCATGCGTTTAGAGTATTTGGCTTTAATACATTTCCACGTGATAAGTCACTTTCGTCGAACTATAATTCGTGGCTAAGTCGCTTCTGAAAAAAAGTTAAATAGCTCAGTGGTCCTTACGTGGTAAATTTTTAAAATGGTTTAGTTTGAATAGTTTAGCAAGTATCAATTCGTGAGAAGTCCGCGGTGGATTTCAATTGATATAATGGCCCTGCCACTGGAATGTTACATTTCCATCACTGCACCTGATCTGACCTATCCGATTATTATTTAAGTAACTGATTATATCGGGTAATGAATTCGATTGCCAACAACTTATGTCTCATTGGATGAGACAGAAGTTGTTGAAAAACGGACTCATTTCTGTTGCCCTCACATGTGCCCCTGGACGGGAGGTTATGGGCGGAGCTTTGCGGCGTCATTGACGTCACGCTGGCCGTGCCTTGTAGGGGGGGGGGGTGTCCTGCCTTCGGGAAGCAGGATGTGCGGGAGGCTAACATTTTTAATGAAGCCCCGAGCCATCGACCGAAAAAGAAAATAGCCAATCAATCAACCTCATCCACAGATCATCCAAGCTCCGAAGAGAGAAGCTTACTGCCCCTGTGCTCGATGAGCAGAGGAGACACTTTTAGTGGTAAAAGCTACCCGATGCCTGAGCAGCCACCAACATTAATTTAATGACACATCCACTGATTACAAAAAAAATGTAGCGAAAAGGATACAATTTTTCTTTTTTTAAAAAACGACATGAAGGTCGAGCAGGATGACACCATTCCAAGGTTGAGGGTGCTGATAAGTGTGGGCATGCTTTAACGACTGCAAATTACGTTTCACACTTAAGCGCAATGTAAAAACCTGAGCTGACTCTTCCCTCCTGGCCGCAATAGAGCCATGTTGTGGGGCATAAATATAGAACATTTTCATAAGGGCTGAGTGTTGAGTGTGAGAGCATAGGCACTGTCCATAGGGGCATTAAAAAAATTGCAATGATAAATTGCTCCACTTTAGTTCAGCGATATAGTCTGCCAGTATCCATTAAGCCAGCATTAATTATGGAGAAATGGTCCTGCTGTCCTGAAAAATTAACATGCAACTATTTCACCTTTCCAAGGGTTTTCTAATGATTTGACAGAGAGGCAACGTGCAGCGGTAAGACGATAGACGGATTGAACAATACAAAATAAATGCATAAATCAGCACCAAAGAGGGAAGGCAGGAACGGGAAAAGGGGAGGTTATGATAAAAGAAAGGGCAGGTTAATTATTTAACACTGGGAACCTTAAACCAATGGCTGCGATCATCAGCCAGTGAAGGAGAACACCAAAGTCAACAAGCGCATACGAGCCAAGGGCACGGCAAAACTGAGGCTGTTGTTCCACAATATTTTGGATAGAATTATTGAGCAGGGTGACGCACGGGGGATTTATAATTATCGGTTCATTTCACAACATTGCCCCATCGCCCATCTAACCCACGCGCGACCATTCATCCGACCACTCGGCCAGCCTGGTAGGTAAGGGTGTGGAAGTGGTGGGCCATTCACCTTGAAAGCATGAACACTCGACGTCTGACCCGCCACCGGAAGGTTCCACGTTCGAATCCCGGCCCGGAGATGATTTCTGCATTCTGACGAGTTGATTGTAGTTGTTCTATGGAAGAAGAAAGGTGTAACTCTTGTTCTGTCCAACTCTCAACGCTGTACGTATGTATGTTGAACTTTTTTTGGCACCGTACGTAGCCAACCGTGGCTCAGTGATGCATGGCTTGCAATCAGAAGGTTGCGAATTAAAAAAAAACAGGTCAGGGATCGTCGAGCCTTTCATCCATCTTTGGTGACTAAAATAATTAACACTTTGTGCGGAAGACAAACAGCGGGGGTAACAAGCATGGGAGCCTGTTTGCCAGTATCAAGATATTGGTGCAGCGGGCGTCCTCTTGAAATGTGTTCTCCCAACCCAACGGACACGTGGAATTGTCACCCTTGGGCTCAGGAAATTAGTGCCATCCCATTGTTCAAAAGAAGAGGGGAGCCCACTTTTGGAATCTGACGAACTCGAAAAGAGATCAAAGCCGGTAAATGGGGCGAGGAGAAGAAAGTGAGCACGGAGCAAAAAGGACCCCCTGGAACTCGCAGAATGGGGTGGCCAGAAATATATCACACGGTGCCTGCGTTTGTTTGTTTGTTTTGCTTTCAAAATCTCTGTAGATTGATAACAACTGGTGAAGGGCATTGCAAACGTTGGTGAATTAAGAAGAGGTTACCTGGGTGCTGACACGGACTGAAATTGTATTTTTTTTTACCGTGGTCCAAACGTTTCTTTTTTACACGTTTTTTTATTAACTCACTGTTGTTGTTGTATCCTCAAATCTTGTAACTCAATTTTAACCCACTTTCCAATGTGGTATCGACTGAAAACTTGGTATACTTATGTCATACTGATGCCAATACTATATTCTATCATTAAAAAACATATTTTTAAACAATCTTTTTTATGTTATGTTTCGGCTTGGGTCTAATTGTCCACGCTCAACTGACGTTGGCTGTAATTGGCCACGTTGTGGCAAGCTTCGGGGCCACTTCCTGGAGTCGTGGAGTTTTGCCATTACTAGTACATTTCATAAAAGCGTGTATTTTTTAGGTTTTTTTTAATATAACTTATTTAGACTTAAGTCGGCCAACCGCTGTACTACCTATGCTTGTTTGAGCATGGGCAGAACTAATTTCCGCACCTCCGAGTAGCACCGTTGGCGACGTACAGTGCGAAAGAAGTTCAACATTTGAGGACAGAGATAATTTGTGATCGTGTTTACTCCAAAAAAACAACGATGGCAAAAAGATTCATAACTGGGTGAGATTTTACATACATATAAAAACACAACACATAGCCCAACTTATGTTCCTTAACACATTTCTCAACATACCAAGTGTCAATGCCCTTGTTCAGAAGGGTTGCTGGGTTCTGAATGTGGGATGTTTGTCCAATTCCATAAGGGGTGTTTTGTATGTGCGACAGGTTTGTTTGATGTTTTTAGAAAGCAGCGAATAGTAGAACAATTGAGTCCCCTTGTGAATAACCGCGCATTCCAGTGAAACCTTAAAACATTTCAAATGCTAAATTGGACTAAATGCACAACCCCAATGTTGCGTCTTCTTTTCGCAAATCTACATAGATATAAAAAACCCAGAAAGTTGAAGATGAAATGCAAAAACAGAGTTGAACAATTATAATGGAGGGAACCAAAAACGAACAGCCTTGTTAGGCCGAATGACCTTTCACGTTCCTTGAACTTTGCTGAAGTGAGTTTTGTTTTTGTGTAAAAAAAAAACAAGAAGTCTCTGCATATTTAAATCGTACTTGCGAACATTTATACACACGGACGCGTAGCCAGTCCAAAGAATGCAAATTACCACAATTTTTTTTTAGTTGTGACATCTTAACATGGTTGGAATTTTCTTTTTTCATCAAATGCAATAATGCGGTGCCTCTTTGAGAAGACAGATGCTTCCGCCACAGCACTTACAGTAAATTTCCAGGCCAAATAGAACAGCTGGTGGTAAAATATTGATCGCTCTTTTCCGTCACTGTGCTGCAACTGTTAAATTTAACATCAGCACATTCATCCCATTTGAGGATTCCGCAACCTTATTATAAATGCAACGCTTTGGAGATGATGAATAGAATGATGATGATGGAATTAAATCTTGGTGCATTTCATATTTCAACGACGCACAGCAGTGGTAAGAGAATGCATGATTATATTGATGACGTTGAAATATTATTAATGGCATCAGGTGAATTAAACCATTCCCATTGGATGTATGAGTATGGGTCATTATATGAGAGCATGCATCATTTACAGGCAAAAAAAAGGATCGGACATATTGCAGAGTATTAATAGTTTGGAGTGGAATGATTGTGTTCAATTTTGGGCAGTGTTCGGTGAACCAGGCAACCTGTGTTAGATTCCCAACCACGACCAACGTTAATAACCGAACCGGTCCTTACCAATATCCTACCTTCACCGACTCCACACTGACTTTCACTATTCAATTATTAACGGCCCATGAGCGGCTCTGCAAACATTGTGCATTTCAACACGTGGGCACACTTAAGGCCCTGCCTTTAAAGCAAGGGGGTCGGGACTGTTGGCCCGCGTAAGGATCTATCCTACGCTGCGAGCATGTGAGCCATGACCTCGGCCAGTCATCCAACTCTCAAAGATGCCCCTTTTTTTTTTAGCAAGCGGACACTTTTGACAACGAGGCCAATTGGGACGTGGCGGGCAGTGGGTGGTGGTGGGGGGGGTATCGGTGGGACGGGGGGGGGTGGGGAGCGTTGAGATAACACGTGGAGCGTGCGGTTTGCTTCTTTGGGAAAAATCCATGAATAATGGATTAGAGGGAGGTGGGTGGGGGGGGAGGATTAAAGATTTATCAATAAAAACTGGATTGGAAGAGGAGCGCGAGACGGCGGGGTTGGCAGCCGCGGACGCAATTGAGAGAGAAAAAGGCAGTGTGAGAGCGGGGAAGGGCGGCAACAGGAGGAGCTTACAAAGTCTCTCCCGCGTCGTCGAGAGGATTCACGAGCATTCCGCGCGCGGACTCACGTGGGGCTGCAACGGAAGGCAGCAGACGCCCGAGGAAGAGTCCTCTGACCCTCATCCGTTGCAAGGGTCCCTCATTTCACCGTTATTTAACTCGAACGTCTTTTTCTTTCAAAACCTCGAATAGATATTCACGTGTTTGTTTGTTAATGCTGTTTAGGCACAATCCTACCCCCGAAGGCTGTCTCGATTCTGTCCACCCCGTCGGGGGGAGGGGGAAAAAAACCCCCAAAAGACGCAACTGACACTTTCACGAACGGCGCTCATCACACTCTCTTGTCTCAGGAGCGTCGAGCCAACGGGTGAACTTTGCCACCAGTCTGAGAATTCTGTTGTTATTTTGCCGTGTGATTTTTTTTTCTTAGTCGAACGTGTTTTTGCTGAACAATGAAAACGCAAGCATCCGACTGCCAAGCGAAAGCGTCGCTTTGCCACGAAAGGTACGGGTGAGTAACACGCGCGCTTTTATATCCCATCCACCCCCTTCCCTTCGGATTCTTTCTACCTCGGAAACGTCAGAAGCGTCGCACTTGGCTCAAGTTTAGCACGAGGGCTACGCACGCGACTAATATGTTTAATGTAACGCGCGCGCTCGCAAGCAGACATCGGGTTATCAACAGTGGCGGAGGTGTGATTCGTGAAACGCGATCGCAACGGTTAAATTCGCATATACGGTGCCGCATATGCGCGTACGTGGTGGAAAGTAAAAAAAAGTTGTGGAGTCGCCGTGTGCTGCTGGCTTGGGATATTTGCGAAACCTCAGTTGCCACGTAGATGCCGAAATGTGTAAATGTGTGGTTGCGGCTAATTGAGAGATATATAAATAAATACATTATAATTCGCACACGCCAATTAACAAGCCACTCCCTAAGGGGCAGAATATGTGTACAGTTTTAATTACCGAAACGTCTGATGCTAAACAATAATATGCTAAATTTAAGCACAGTTTATGATTTTATGTAGTATTGTTATTTACAAGCTTGTATGGCAGCCACGTCACTACTACATCAGGTTCTATCTTGAAAGTGAAGGCATAATAGAGACTGTGATTGCCATTCCAACTGGCATTGATGAATGGGAACATGGAAATATCCCGTGTTCAATGCTCATTGAAATGTGTTCATGCGTATACGGCTGACAATAGATTCGTTTAAAATTCAGCAAAGGATATGTCGAACCTGCTTGGAAACATGATATGAAATATAAATGGGTTAGTCATGAGGGTTCATGATGCATGCATGTGTACGTATCTATTAAGCGCAAATGCTTATTATGTGGAAAACATTGCCTTACATTAGATGTGTCCTAATTCAAAAGAAGAAAAACACATGCAAATTAAGCACAGGCTTATTAATTTCATGGCCTTAAATTTTAATTCGCAAGTTCAATGCAAGCATTTTGGCTTCGTAATTAAATACAGCCTCAGGCTTTATGTAAATCACCATTGTTTCCTGGGAACGCAAGCTAGTATTGTACTGCATATGTTAATAAAACTAGGTCATTATTTATCACCAATATTTATGTTATATGTTGCAATTAATCTCACACTTACACACTGTGGTCTTCATTGTAAGGTGTTTGTGATTTACAACGGCTGCCTCTTGGCTATCCATGTTTCCACTGTCTCGCGTTCATGAGATCACCTACTGCTCATCGGTGATGGTAAAGGAAGACGCACAAATTTATGCCATAAAGCTTCCAGCACAAATTTACAATCTTACCCTCCACAATACAAGTGCTAATGGATTTGTTTTCCTTTCTTTTTCAAATTGCTTGGAGTGCTACCGATTTATAAAACTTACGAAGCACGTGGCAGTCAAAGTGGTAAAAAAAAATTTCACTCGGTGGTTTTAGCTCAGCCACTCGGATTAAGAAACATCCGAAATCAAGAAGTCCATTTGCACAGCTGAGCACGAGACGCTGCGAGGAACTACTATAGAACACGTGCACAGCCAACGACAGGCTCAGGGGAAAAAAAAAACTATTACGGATACTTGCCTTCCACTACCTTCCCTTATGCCATTGAAGAATTACAATTAAAACACACAAAAAGAGTCGAAGTGATTTCTTGCAGATGCCCAGCTCATATTTACATCCTCGAGCCAGTGGTGGAAATTCCACGTTCCCATCGCAGGTGCGAGTTTATCCAGAGGACAGCCACTCTTGTTGACCACCTGCGAAAATATTCACAGGTGGTTTCTTTTGGGTGAGCTCATGTAAAAATGTGTGCCGTAAACCCGCCACCACCCGACGCGGCCAAAGAATAATGGTTCCACGTTGATTCGGACGTGCCAAATGCGTAACCGCTTCGGAACCACCAGCCGGTGCTGCTGTTGCAGAGTCATCTTCCAACATTTGCAGGGCTGCGACGTTTCGCTGGTGATTACACCTAGCATCATCAGGTTGCGAAGAGATGACGGACTGAATCAATCCCCCACACTCCCCCAACCAAGATGTGAACTCATTAATTCCGATCGCGAGCCACTCGCTCTGCCTTCTCTCGTGCTCAGTGAGACATTACCATTCGCACGTTAACACTGCATCATAATAATGACAATGTGCACATAATACAAAGCTTATTCGCCTGATTTCAACCCACCGTGTAACGTACTGTGAAATTTGTGTGCAATTTTGGAAAAGCATTATACTGGTGCTGTTCATATAGAGTATTTGCACTCATATTCCCATTGATTTTATTACTGTAATTCAGTGTTTTCAGATGCCTTCGAAATTGACGTTTCAATTATTTGAGGCGCAGCTTTTACAATATGTTCATCTATGACCTAAACACCGGCATTATGATTATGCGTACACAACGTTTCGAGGGCTCATACGAAAACCGTATGGATTTATAATTTAACGTACAAAGTATTTTATTCCATTGTGAAATCCAATTATTTGCATTGAAAATTAATATGTGAATATTTTATTTATATTTGTAAACAAAAATCTGGGAGCTGTACGTTTATTATGCTTTACATTTTTGGTTCGATTCATTCTAACCTCGCATATTTCACTGTAGCAATGTAATAACCCAAAATTCTGCGTAAAATGTTAATACAGCTCAATTTATAATAAAAAAGTACCATTCCGGAAGGATTACCTGGTGGTGCATAATCACTGACACACAAATTCCGTGGTGTTCAGTCATCCCCAATTACAACACATTTCATTTATAGATTGCACTGCGGCATGATGATGCTGAGCAAGTAAATAAATAATGGTAGCCAAAACATCCGTCGGTTAACAGCTGTAAAGCACGTGTATTGCACTGGCATAGAAACGCATGATTTATTCATTCGCCAGATAACTACGGCAAGGGATTAAGAGCCAAACGAAAACCGTGCGCACGTGACACAGAAGACTTTAAACATAGCCTGATTTAACTCGTAAAAATTTACACTGTAGAGATAAATAAGTCATTACACAACACCTTGCCAAATCGTGAAAGCCTCCAACAAAGGCTCGTCAGTAAGTCTAATGCTATCGGCTGCATAGTGTTGCCAAACGCACCGTTGTTTAAAATTTGTACATTTTATTTCGCGTGCATTTTGAGAAACACAAAGAACATTTTTCGTCGTAAATGTCCCATACATCCAGTTCTGAGGAGTATTCACCTATTTGAAGCTAGATATGATCTAAGAATGGGTTGTTTGTAAAACAAAATACTTATTCGGCAACTTGCTCAGAGTAGCGATAGGGACACTTGCCACTATGGAAATCCTGCAGAACATAGTGTGTTACGTCATGCCAGGGAGTGGCCGTGGAAGATAACACCACTACAGAACTACTTCTGGAGTAACTAGTATAGAGGTCTCTCTCGCGCCAACACTGACACTTAAGCAACCAAGCTGGTAAATAACAAAGTTGGAGGGAGGTCATTCGGCCTCCCTGTCACTCTTGAACTGATAGGAGGGAAAGGAAGAGGACCTAACACACATATTGCCCACTCATGCTGCATTAACCCTTTCCAGTTCCGATGACGTACGTGTACGCCATCAGATTTTCTTCCATTGCCGTTCCGACGACGTATGTGTACGTCAGAATGGAACCATAAGAAAAATGTATACAAAATAACTTTATCGGTACTTAGGCTCCCACGAGGACATGCAGGAGGGCATGCGAAACAGTTTGGCGCCGGCTATCGCAGAGTTACAGTTGTGTCACTGGGGTTCTCCGCGGTGAGTAACAATCTCTTGAAAAACAACGGCGCTACTACGCCTCTCTAAATAAAATCAACGGCAAACCACTCGTGCATTCGGAGATTCAGCGGTGAGCGGGACACCCACGCTCTGAAAATTTGCAGACGTCTCGGAAACGGGAAAGGGTTAATTAAAGAGTGTTTCACCAAATGTCAATAATTTTTACCCATCAGAAGTGAGATAGGTTTGACTGAACTGAGGCAATCAGTTTGCATTACTTGAGAACCTGTTTAATCACAAGTGGCTGCCTGGGTTCGAACCCAGGCGCTCATAAGCCCCCAGTGTTATAATTCAACATGAGCCTCCTAAGCCACACATGGCCACTTAGCTGAAGCCAGGGTTTCAAGGGCAGTGTTAGACCATGGAGAGTCCCCGACAATAAAGTTTGAATTACGAAGTCTGTCACTTATTTCAAAATCATTTACTTCTGCAAACACATTCCTTGCGCCTTTATCATCATCATCAATCATCAGCCATGGTCGATTCACTGCTGGACGGAGGCTTTTCTGAGCCGACACCACCTCTCATGATTCTGCGATGTAATAAGCCATCTACATCTGTAAGTTCGGTTTTTTTTTACGATTTAAATTGAAGAAAAAAAAATATACTCTTGCACAGAAATGTGAGGTTCGGGCTGAAGAGGCTTGCCTCGGAGAGACCTGTGCATGTCCTCCAGTTTAAAATCAACAACAAACAATTGTGTAAGTGAACATGGATATTGCCCACCACATCTGCTGCAGGGACCCCTAAAAGCACCTTGCAATCAGAATTACAATTCGAAAAAATAGATTCTCATGTGTGAGAGAATTAAAAGAAAATTGGATTCCTAATTCCACGTTGCCGAATCCCTATCCACTACGCTCAATCAACAATAAACAAAGCCGCACTGTAATTAATCTGGACCAAACATGTGATGCCTTTTCCAAATATGGTTTCAAAAATAAGTATTTGGTTTATTGAATGAAATAAGTATTTGATTTATTAAATAAACAGTATGAGAGAGCTGGCTCAAAAATATGCACCAAAGTGAATTATGCATCTCCAGTGATATTTCGCGTCTGTTTTCATAATGCAAAGTTACGGGTCACTGGAAAGTATTAATAATTCAACAACACATTTCAATGTAACCAAGACACTTGTACAGTCTAAAGTAAGTCATTTTCATCATCATCATCAGTCATTGTCTTCTCACTGCTGGATGAAGGCCTGCCCACACAGTGGCCATCCCTAATGATCCTGCGAAG